CCCTCTGTGGAGGACAGAGCAGGGTGGTGATGGTGCTCTCGTGGCAGATGGAGATTCAGGACGGCCCCAATGATGATGGGGAGATGTTCATGCGACCCGGAAAGCTGTCTGACTACTTCCCCAAACCGTACCCCAACCCTGAGGCTGCCAGAGCAGCCAACAATGGAGCCGTGCCCCCTGACCTCAGCTACATCGTGCGAGCTAGGTACGCAGGCTTCCCGCAGGGCTGGCGGGAGGGGAGGCAGGTCCCACTCCTGCCAGAGGCTGAGGCGGCATGGATTTGGTCCTAGGCACGGTGGTGAAGACTACGTCTTCTCCCTGCTCACGGGCTACTGTGAGCCGCCCACCGGGGTGTCGCTACGAGAAGGCCTCTACTTCAACCCCTACTTCCCTGGCCAGTCCATCGGCATGGCTCCTCCCATCTACGACGAGGTCTTGGAGTTTGACGATGGTGAGTTCCCTACTTTCCCCACTGGGTTCCCTTGGTTGGGGCACTGTGTGTGTCTCAGGCTTGTGGGCAGCCTCACTGCCCTGACCAGCTCATGCCATTGTGTCCTGAGGGGTCCCATCCCTTTTGAAGCCTTGGGCAGGGACCCATCTACCATGGAAGGGGTGCTCTGGGGGTATCCTAGGTTGGGCAGGGGCCCCAAGGGTAGCCCTCACCACCTGTCCTTGGTCCAGGCACCCCAGCTACCATGTCCCAGGTAGCCAAGGATGTGTGCACCTTCCTGCGCTGGGCATCCGAGCCAGAGCATGACCATCGGAAACGCATGGGGCTCAAGGTGAAAGGATCGGGCAAGGGGGCACAGTGGGCATGGCAGAGGGAGGCTGGGAGCTGGGCAGGGCTCCTTTCTGCCTCCCTTCTCTGAGCCTGTCTCATCCCCAGATGTTGATGATGATGGGCTTGCTGTTGCCCCTGGTATACGCCATGAAGCGGCACAAGTGGTCAGTACTGAAGAGCCGGAAGCTGGCATATCGTCCACCCAAGTGACCCTGCCGAAGGTGTGCTTGCCATCCTGTTTGAATGGGCCTTCAAGCCAGGAAGCCACCCTGGGTCTCTTTAGACCCCAGCTGGCCCTCTTGGCCAAGCCCCTCTTCTCTGGGACAAAAGGGGAGGGGGCAGGAGACTGGGCTGGAGCTCCAGATCCTTCAGCCTCTATCATGGAAATAAATTAAGTTTCTCAATAGACACATTTGGGCTATTGTGTGATGAGAGTGTAGTTTGCAGGGGACTCAGAGTGAGACCTTTGCCCTCAGAGCTCCCAGGACTGTCTCGTGCCGTGTGGCACTAACTGCTGGCTGGGAGTCCCATCAGGTCTGTATGTGAGACAGGAAGCAGAGACCTGTTAGAGATGGCAGCTCCTTGGGGTAGGGAGAGAGGTGGAAAGGGCCTGGCTGGACATGGCCCAGGGATCTGCCAGAGAAACCAGCCAAGTGTCAGTGTTGAACCCCTTGGCCTTCGTTCTGAGGGCAGCAGGAAGGGAGCCCTTGGCCGCATTCCAGAGGGAGGGGCCTGGCCTGCAGTAGGAGCTGAGGGAGCTGCTGGGCTGGGCATGGCTGGGAGGGAGAAACTCTCACCTCTGCCCAGGAAGCAGATAAGCAGGGGGAGCCAGCCCAGAATGTGCTCCTGGCCTCTGGCTGCACCGCTGGCGGGGTCCACTGAGAAAGGGTCCTGCTGGAGGGGAGCGGGGAGTGCAGCGCTCCTAGCAGTCAACAGGCAGCTGTGGCGGGTCCAGGCCAGACAGCCAGGCAGAGCTGGGAGCAACAGCAGCCGGCTGGGGAGGGGGACCGCAGTGGGTCTGTCAGTGGTAGGAGAGCCTCGGACATGTTGCCTTAGCAGTAGCGCAGGGCCCTGGCTCAGGGCTCCTGAGTTTTTCTTGTCCCCAGAAGGGAATTTAAGGCATCCTGGCTGGAGCAGCCCTAAGGAGTGGTGGCCAATTAGGAGAGCAGAGAGCTGAGTGGGAGAAAGGAAAAGGGTGCATGCCTGAAGGGCTCTAGGTGGAGGAGGGGAGGCATGGTGGCTGGGAGTGGGGCTCACAGAGGGCCCTAGCCCAGTGGTCAGCAGTTGGGGTGGGGGGTGAGGGCTCTGCAAGCCTCTCAGTGTATGAGAAGGTCTCAGTACCATGCCTGTAGGCTTCTTGGGACTTGGGGTCCAAGTAAGCTCTTGAGTAGCTACCTGGACCCGGCTGGGCAGCCCAGCTGAGAGCCAGACTCTGCCCTCTCTGCCAGGTGTCCTGGGTGGCACTGTGCCCTGCTCTCCATCCTCCCAGCTGCCCAGTCTGCACAAAGTGGGGGCACTCAGCTGGCTCAGAAGAATCTTTAATGTCTGGCTCATGGCCTCTCCCCGAATCTCTGGATATGTCCCCAGGGAGCTGTCAGTGGAGATCCCCGGAGAGGTTCAGAAGAGCATCCAGGGACCTTGGGCCGGGAAGGGAAGGGCCGTCCTCTCTCCTTGTGACCTGGGGGTAGGGAGAAGAGGAGTCATTTTGCTGTTCTGCTGCCCTCCCCATCCCACCCCTTCCCTGCCTCTGGTACCATTGGCGACTGCTGGGTAGAGGCTGCAGGAAGGGGGTCCCAAGCGCAGGGTCTCTGGGTGCTACACATCTCACAGCCAGGCCGACTCGGGGCATTGATGAAGGTGCAGGAAGGGCAGGGCCAGCCGGGCTGCGGAGGAGGAACAGTAGCTGCTGACCCCTTCCTTCCGATGCCCACAGCTGCCCAGGCCCACCTTACCTGGCTCCTGCCTACCTGAAGGGGGCTGGGGAGGCTGGAGCTGCCTGGCTGAGGAGCTCGGGGCAGCCCCAGTGTCTGAGAAAACAGGCGGCCTAGTTCCCCATCCATCTTCTGGGGGCACTGACGGCTGCGTCCTATGGTAGAGGGGGTGGGGCTCAGGGCCTTGTCAGCTGTACCCCACCTTCCTCACCCAACACAACCAAGGACTGACCTGGGGCTTCTCGCGGGGCTGAGAGCAGGTAGAGGAAAGCAGGGTCCCTGTCCTGCCAGACCCCGTAGGAGGCGAGGCTGCGCTCGGGCACACACAGGCACTTGCCAATGACCCAGCGCTGCACAGCTGGTGGGAAGCCAAACTTCGAGAAGACCTGGAGCCAGAGCGTCAGGGCCAGGCAGTCACCCGGGGTCCCTGCCTCCAGCAGGGCTCCCCCGGCCCCGTGCTCACCTGCTCCTGGAGGGCCGAGATGGTGCAGTGGGGGTGGACCTGCAGCGAGACGTGGGCAGAGGACGAAGCATCTTCCACTGTGACCTGTAGGCTGGGCCAGAATTTCGGTTCAGAGAATGATGGGGTGCCTGGAGGATTGGGAGGGTGGGTGAGGACGAAGTCCAGGTCTCACCTGATGGGGCCAGGAGGGAAGCAGCTCTCCTGGAGCTGGACACTGAGGGCCACATGATGCTGGGCCAGGAGGGCTGCAGCTTGGGCTGCCCCCTTCCCATCTCCATCCTCAATGGCCTGGGCCAGGCGCCCTGCCAGCTCTTCTACAAGGAAAGAGTGCACCATCACAGCTGGGCATGGCAGCTTGCCCCACCCCCTTTGGCCACCTGCCTTTACCTTTCTCCATCAAGTCTCCAGAACTCGGACCATCCATCTTGGGGGCCTTGAGTGTGTGCGCTTCAGGGGGACTGGGTGGGGAAACAGGGCACGTCTCTGGGCCCAGGGCTGGAGGCAGGGTGTCACTGCCTAGGAGGGAAGACGTGGGGTGGGCAGGTGGTCTCCCGAGATCAGCCTCCCCGCTGAGTACTCACCTCACCTGGGCCTCTGCTCTCTGACCTCAGGTGTCCAGGACCCTTGCCTCCTGCCTCCTCCCTCCTCCCCTCAGCTCATGCCAGGACTCTGCCTTGGCCACACTTTCAGTCCAGCCTTCCCTCAAGCCTTGGCCTTTCCAAGGGTCCCTGCTGACTCCTTTCAGAGCTGGAGCTGCACTTGTGCTCTGGAACCTTCTGGACCCTCTGCCATCTGGTCCCACCTGTGTCCCTCTGCCACGGAGGCTAGACTTCTCCTGGCCTCCACAAGCCCTCTCCACCAGCCAGGGATATTCCCTTGACCTCACAGGAGAACCAAAGCAGATGCGTAGGAGCCCTGCAGTCAGCATGGCCTCTTCTTGGCGCCCTCAGGAACCTCCATCCCCTCTCCTTCCTCTACCATCAGCAACCGCAGACTCCCATCCCAGACAAGCCCTCCCAGGCCACTGTCTGCCCTGGGTGTCCTTACAGAGCTGGCTGCTGTCTCCCCTTCCCTCCGCTTAAGGCCCAGCCCACCTGAGTTGAGGCAGCTCAGCCCCTCAGAATTCTGACCCGCCCGCCCACTGAGACAAGCAGGGCGCCCAGGCACCCAGCACCAGCTGGCCCCGGCTCAATGCATGCTCGTGCCTCAGGGCCTGTGTACCCACTGCTCTCTGGCCACATGGGTCACACCTCAGTCTTCAACTTCACTCGGTGTCACCTAAGGAGGCCTCACTGCCTCCATCCCACTCCCATCTCTCCCACCATCTGACACAATTTTATTTACTCACTACATCTGCCTCCCCGCTAGAACCAAACGCTCCGAGAGAGCAGAGACTTGGAAGTTGTATTCACGCTCAGTCTCCAAGGCCTCAGGGAGTGCTGAGTCCGGAACGGTACCAGGGATACACCTGGCGACTGAGTGAATGGAAGAGCTCTCTCCCTCTGCAAATGCTATCTATGCACCTCATCTTGTGCGGTTTTCCTCCTGCCCCTCTGGCAGCTCTTCTGATGCATCTGTGGGCTCTTCGCTCCTGCTGACCCCGGTTAACCCTTCCCACCTCCAGAGGCCCAGCTCCAGCCCAGACTCACCACTCTCACCCCCGTCCATGCTCTTCCAAACAGGACTCCTTTCTGGGAGCCCAAGGGCATTTGGTTCCCCGTCTTTCTGTCCCAACCATTAACTCTTCTAATTAAACACCCACAAAACCCAGCCGACTTCATCTCCTAAGCATCTCTGGAAACATCCTTCTCTCCAGCCCTATCTGCACCCGCCCACGAGTGCAGGTCGCAGCCAACCTTGAGGAGCGCAGTCCGAGCCTGTCCCTCTCCCACTGAATACTTTCCCGCGGCTCTTGAGACAGTGTCTTCGCCCCAGGTCCTGGGCCTGCTGGCTCTACCCCTCCACACCAGTCTGGTCCTCCAGGCCCCAGCTCTGGGCCCGTTCCTTTCCCCGCTTTCTCCTGGGGGCCTCCCCAGGCGGCCAGCAGTGGGCCCAGCTTTACCCACTGCCTTCCCCATCCAGGCCTGAGGGCCAGGGAGACTCCCGCCCTCCCAGCACAGTCCCTGGCCAACCGAATGAACCTTTGCCCCACGGCACTGACCATTGTGTCCCTCCGCGGTGGCACCTCGAACCAGGGCTGCCCACCGCTGGGCTTCCTGGGGGTTGAGGAAGCGCAGGCTTAGGGCCCCAGGCCCTCCTGGCGGAGGCTGCAACTCGTGCTGGCTGGGGCCTCGGACGGTGTAGGAGACGGACTCCAAAGGCCACTCCAAACCGACCTGAGGGTGGGAGAGGCAGAGCTCAGGCCTCCCGCAAGCACAGACGTGGGACCGAAGGCACGAGGTACAGGCCTGGCCACTGCGCTGTCCCACGCGCCTTACGGCTTCTCTTAGGAAACGCACCGGAGTCCTATCCAGGTGAGGGCACCATTCCCCCCGTTCGCAGGGGAGGAAACGGAGCCGGGAAAGTGTCCTGCTACGGGGACTCCACGGCAAGCGGAGGGGCTGCCGCCCCCACTCACCGCCCCGGGCCCCGCGCCCAGTAGCTCCAGCCGGAAGCGCCCGGGCCGCTCGGGGTCCGCGCTCAGCTGCAGCCTCCGTAGCTGCGCCTCAGCGTCCGGTCCGGCGGCCAGCGGCCTCACGGCGGCGTGCACAGTCAGCAGCACCGTGGACGAGCCCGGGTCCGGGGCAGCCGCCGCTCCGCCCGCCGGCGGCGCCATCTCGGGTCCAGCCGTGTCTCGGCGTCCGACTTCGCTTTCGTGGGCTGGGACCGCCGGGCGCTTGTGCCGGCCGGAAACCGAGGCCGCGAGCCTGGGGTTCCGGGATGGGCCAGCGGGTCGAAGCCCGGGGTGTAAGGAGGGAAAGGGGGGGATCGGACCCTCCGGCTTTGCCCAGGATGTACTCGGTCCAGGGCTCTCGGACACGGGCGGTCGAGGCTGGGCCTGAAGGCTTGTACGTCGGGGTAAAGTGTCAGGGACGGATGCGCCGGCCACGACTAGACGGCAGGCGCGGTCCCGTCGCCTTAAAGGCTGGGGCGGGCGGGAGAGCTGCAGCTCAGCTGCCCGTGTCTACCCGGGCGGGAGCTGGACGCTGGACGCCGCTCCCAGACCCCTTCCGGTGGTCGCCGCGCCCCGCAGCCCGGCCCCGCCCACACCGCGCAGATCAGCAGCCTCTCCTGGGAACCTGGCGGCCACCGGGGGCGGGGCAGGCAAGGAGCCGTGACCAATGGGCGCTAGGAAGGAAGACGGGTTCGGGCGGTGAGAAGAGTGACGGACAGGTGCTGCGGCCAATAGATGTAAAAGACGGGACTGAGCGGCGGGTAACGTTCCCAATGGCTCTCCGAGCTCCCGATCGCAGCGGCTGGAGCCGGCCATTCAGAGGCGTGGGGCCGGGCCTTGCGGGCGCTTGTTGTTGTCCGGCCCCGGGAGGCAGAGGTCGGTCGGTCGCTAGCTCGTTAGCTGGGGCGATCTGTGGCGGTCGGCGGGCAGGACCATCGTGATAGTCGGGCGTCGTGCAGGGGCGAAGTTATGTCGCGGTGGCAGCCCGGATCGGCCGGCAGGGCCGGGAGTAACGGGATGTCGCCGCAGAGCTTCTTCCTCCGGATACAGTGCGGCCCAAGCGGAGGCCGCGGCGCCGCCCTCCGATCCTGAGGATCCCGCGCTGCCCGGAGCCCGCACCGCCTTCTCACTCGCATTGACGCCAACCGACCTGACCCGGCCTGGCTCTGCCCGGCCAGATAGAGCGTAGAGCAGCAAACAAGTAGGTGTCCGCCCTGTGCTCGGCGTCGTATCGGGGCCTCCAGAACTACAGACCCCAGCAGGCCTCGCGCCGGCCTTGCGCATGTCTGGGGTGCACGGCCCTCTGGGATTTGTAGTTCGCCGCTGCTAGGCTGGGGTTCTACTAGGCCCGGCCGGGAGGCGGGCGCTGCGGGGCGGGCTCTGGAGCGCGCTAGCGGCCAGCGTACGTGCCGTTCCGGGGCCGTGAGCCCTCCCTCCGTTCCCGAAGAAGCTAGGCACATTTTGGAGAACGGAGGAGCCTACAGGTTTCCTCTTCCCCTCGCTATAAAGCCGCCCGCAGAACAGGGAAGAGCGCGTAGTCCAAGTGACCTCAAGCCCGAGCCGGGCCCCAGGGGTCCGGGTTCCAAACCGGGATGGGGAGTGTTAAGGAAGAGACGAACCCAGCAGTCTTGGGGTGAGCAGGAGCTCTGTGGGCCCCCAGCCCCGACCCAGGACTCCAAAGAGGTGCAGGGGGTGTGGCTGCGCTGGGGCCTGGACTGGCCATCTCAGGTAACAGGATCGCATCGCCTCCGGCCTGTGCTGTGCCTGGGAGCAGGCTGTGGGCGGGGCCTAGCTTGTTTACTTGGGCTTCATTTACCCGAGAGAAAGCTGAAAGGAGAGGACCGGGGGCCAGATACCCATGGGCTGGCCTCCTGTCCTCAGGGCCGCACTAGCCCCTCAGAGCACAGGACGCCCTCCCCAAGGACATGAAGCTGTTGGAGAACTCGAGCTTCGAGGCCATCAACTCACAGCTGACTGTGGAGACTGGAGATGCTCACATCATTGGCAGGTGAGGGCGGGGCTGGAGGAGCCGGGGTCTCAGAGCTCCCTCTGCCCTGGCCCTGAGGGGAACCGGGGGGTGGCGTGCCACGGTCCCACCTGTGTCCACCCTGCAGGATCGAGAGCTACTCCTGTAAGATGGCAGGAGATGACAAGCACATGTTCAAGCAGTTCTGCCAGGAAGGCCAGCCACACGTGCTGGAGGCCCTGTCCCCACCGCAGACCTCGGGCCTCAGCCCCAGCAGGTGAGCCTGGGCAGGGCCTGCCCACGGGGGCTGTCGGGCGCAGGGCAGTGCTGGGCTGACGCTTCTCTGTGCAGACTGAGCAAGAGCCAAGGCGGCGAGGATGAGGGCCCCCTGAGCGACACGTGCAGCCGCAAGACGCTCTTCTACCTGATCGCCACGCTCAACGAGTCCTTCCGCCCCGACTACGACTTCAGCACGGCCCGGAGCCACGAGTTCAGCCGGGAGCCCAGTCTCAGCTGGGTGAGGGCTCCCCCACCCACAGCTGTTCACGCTGTCTTCCCCGTTTTTACTGGCCCCTAACCCAGTCCATGCCTGCTGTCCTGGCACCTAGTCAGCCGAGCTGTGCCCATTCTAGGTGGTGAATGCGGTCAACTGCAGTCTGTTCTCGGCTGTGCGGGAGGACTTCAAGGCCCTGAAGCCGCAGCTGTGGAATGCAGTGGACGAGGAGATCTGCCTGGCCGAGTGTGACATCTACAGGTGGGCTGGCGTCCCTGCAGGTGGGCGCTGGGTGTGTGTGGCACCTGGGGCCTCACACCCATCTCACTCCACACTATCCAGCTACAACCCGGACTTGGACTCGGACCCCTTTGGGGAAGATGGCAGCCTCTGGTCCTTTAACTACTTCTTCTACAACAAGCGGCTTAAGCGGATTGTTTTCTTCAGCTGTCGCTCCATCAGGTTGGCGTCTGTCCCTTCCCCCAGCTTCCTGTTAGGCCCACCCCACTCCTGACTCTGTCCCCTCCAGGGGCAGCAGCAGGCCAGGGTGGGCAGTTCTAAGACTGCTTCCCCACCTCCCCCAGTGGATCCACGTACACACCCTCGGAGGCAGGCAATGAGTTGGACATGGAGCTGGGGGAGGAGGAGGAGGAACTCAGAGATGGAGGCAATGAGGGCGGATCCGAGGAGACCGGCCCCATGGAGGACAGGTGTGTGATGGTGTCAGCAGACGGGCTCCCTGGAGCGTGGGGTGGGCAGGGCGGGGTGGGGCCCTCTGCCTGGTCTCCTGGGTGTTAGCTCCTCAAGGCTCCTGTGTGCCCCCCTCTGCCCAGAGTCCCGGTGATCTGTATGTGAGGAGGAGAAGCAGAGGCCCAGCTTCATCCAGCGTCAACCAGTGCCTGGACTTGCCCACCTGAGGGGCCCTGGGCCTCCCCAGCTGCTGGCCAGACCCTGGCACGGCTCCAGCTCCAGCTGCCCACCTAGCCCTTTGGTTCCAGCCTACGGACGGCCACTCACCCCCACAGGCTCTGCTGCCCACATTGTGGCTGGACTGGACAGACACGGGGCCTGGTGGGCACAGCCACTGCCGTGCCCAAACGAACTGCCTGAGGCAGGGACCGCTGGACCACAGAGTTTATTTTTGTATTTTGTACCCTGGGCCTGCACACTCCAGCCCGAAGGGCCTGAGACCCAGCAAGCAGGCCTGACAGTCGTCCTCCCTGGCGTGGGCCGCTCTCGGTGCCCACCTGTACCCCCACCTCGCCCACTGGGCAGCGTGCACTGAGTGTCACTTTGCTGCAGCTTGTTTGTTTCCAATAAAAGTTTATGTGACTTATTGTGGACCTGGGCTCTGTGGGGCCTGGGGGCGGGGCCTGCGTGGGGCGGGGCCTGCGTGGGGCGGGGCTACGTCCCCTGGTATCCTAGCAACGGGCAGTAGGGGCTGTTAAGCCGCCTGGACCTGCCACCGCCGCCAAAATGGAGACGGATGTGTCCGATGTCGGCAACCCCTTTTTAGTAGAAGACAACATGACTCTGGACCCAGACCTGAACGACACTGACAACTATGGCGTCCCGGACCCCGGGCTGCTCGAAGAACGGGGTGAGCCGGCCTGGCCCGCACCCAGGCGCGATGTCAGCCGGAACCCAAAGCGCCTCGGGCAGCCCCGCACCCACAGGGCCCTCCAGACGGTCCGGCTGCCCGCCACCCTCTGGGGTGGGGCCCCAGGCCGCACAGTGGCGGTGACTGACGGCGCTGCCCCCACGGCCCGCAGAGCTGTCGTTCTCGAAGCTGGTCCCGAAGCTTTTCATGAGGAGCACGACCCCCAACGCCCGCGCCCGCCTGCTGTGGCTGCTGCTGCGGAGAAGCCTCCGCAACATCGTGGAGAAGGTGCGCCTGGCCCACGGCCTCTGCCTGGAGGCTTCGCTCCTGGCCTGGCGGCTCCCCTCGGGGTCCCTAGCAGGAGCCAGCCCTCCTCTGGGCTCCCGAGGCGGGGCGCCTTCTCTCCCCGCTCCCCCCAGTGGACTGACCGCCCGCCCACCCCGCCTGCCCGCAGGAGAAGAGGTCCGAGCTGCGCGTGGCTCGCCTGACGCACGGACTGGAGCCGCTGCGCCGCCTGGAGGTGGTGGCCGGGCTGCGCTCGGTGGCGCTGGACCCCGTGGGGAGACGCTTTGTGGTGCTGGACGGGGCGGGCTGCCTGCACCTGCACCGAGAGGACGGCTGGGCTCTCGGGACGCTGCCGGCGCCCGTGGCACTCACGGGGCTGGTGGCTGTGCTGGGCCCGCTGGGCTCCATGAGCCGCTTCGTGGGCTGGGGCCCCGCAGGGCTGGCCATCCTCAAGCCCGACCTCAGCCTGCTGTGGCTGAGTGAGCCCAGAGTGGGTCGGCCGCCCCGCCGCGAGCCCATCTCCTGCCTGCCGGTGCCGGACCTGGGCCTGCTGCTGGTGGCGGAGGCGGGCGGAGGCCTGGCGCTCTGGAAGTTCCGTTTAGAGGGTCGCTGCCTGTTGCCTTGCGGGCCCTCGCTGCAGCCCCAGTTAAGCTGCGCTGGTGCCCTCACGCGCCTGGCTCTGGGGCCCCTGGCTCCCAACTACGTCCCTCGCTGCTTCGCAGCCTATGGCTCGGCTGTGCTCACCTTCGATCTGCGCACCTGGACTGTCACAGACGTGTGCCAGGATCTCCACAAAACGTGAGGGGGCCCAGGGAGTCAGGGGAGGGAAAGCCAGTTGGGCCGGGCGCAGAGGCTCCCGGGAGGCCATGCTGAGTCCGCGGGGCCTTCCCCCAGCACCATCTCTGACCTGGCGTACTGCGGGGAGATGGAGGCCATGGTGACAGCTTCCCGAGACAGCACGGTGAAGGTGTGGGGGGCTGACTGGCAGATCCGGATGGTGTTCGTGGGCCACACAGGTACACCCCGCCCCACCCAGGCGTAAAGAGCGCCGCGCTGTCCAGAATCTCCGCCATCTCTGGCCAAGCTTCTCTCTCTATCGTCACCCGAGCTGGTCGGTTTCCCCTCTCGGTCCCTGGTGCACCCGAGTGACACGCGCCCTCCTGCAGGCCCGGTGACAGCTATGGCCGTGCTCCCCAACACGACCCTGGTGCTGTCCGCCTCTCAGGACGGGACGCTCCGCACGTGGGACCTGCAGGCGGTGGCTCAGGTGGGCGAAGTGATGCTGAGCTACTGGGGCCAGAGCACGCGGTCCGAGAGCGTGAACCAGCTGCTGGCGCCCGCCCTCCCCGGCTGGCCGGTGCTCTCCGTGCGCGCGGGCAGCGTGGAGCTGTGGTGCCTGCGCGAGCTATACTCACCGTTGGCGCAGCTCTCCGCACCCATCCTGCACCTGCAGGTGGCGCCCGAGCTGCCCCTGCCCCCGTACCTGCCCGCTCGCCTCGTGTGCGCCTGCACCGACGGCTCCGTCTACCTGGTGAACCCCGAGACGGGGCGCACAGTGAGCGCGCTGCTGCTGGGGCCTGAGGACTGCGCCGCCGCAGTGGCCTACTGCCTTCCGCGCGAGGTGCTGTGGCTGCTGACGTGCGCCGGGCACCTGGTGCGGGCCAACGCGGCGTGCAGCCCCATGTGCGTGCTGCTCCGCAAGAGCCCGCTGCCGCTCCCCGCGCCCCGGCCCTGCTGCCTGCACCTCTACAGCCACCTCACGGACCCAAGGAGCGCGTTCTCCACCTGGGAGACGGTGCGCCAGCGCAAAGGTGAGGTGGGCCACAGCGACATCCGAACCTGGAAGGAGAAGAACAGGTAGGTGGCCCGGCCGTCTGGCTCAGCGGTTGAGCGTCGACCCAGGAACCAAGAGGTCGCAGGTTCAATTCCCGATCAGGGCACATGCCGGGGCTGCAGGCTGGATCCCCTGTCGGGGGCGTGCAGGAGGCAGCCGATCCATGATTCTCTCTCATTGATGTTTCTCTCTCTCTCCCCCTCTCCCTTCCTCTCTCTCTCTAAAAAACCAATAAAAACATATTTTTTAAAAAGGATGTACATGAAAAGAAAAGAACAGGTAGGTGTCGGAGCCAGTGAGGGCCGGGCGGGCCTGTGGGGCCCGTGCCAACAGGCCGGTGTCGCCTGCAGGTACCTGCCGGTGGTGGGGCACACGGACGGCACCTTGTCGGTGCTCAGCTGGCACACACTGGAGCCCGTCTTCCACACAGAGGCGCACAGCCCGGGCCCGGTCACTGCCATCGCATCGACCTGGAACAGCGTCGTGACCTCCGGTCAGTACCCCCTCCCGCTGCCCCAGAGCCGGGAACCCCTTCCCTGCACAAAGGCCCAGCACTGGCTCTGCCCCACCTGGCAGGCGGGGACTTGACGGTGAAGATGTGGCGTATGTTCCCCTACTCGGAGGAGAGCCTGAGCCTGCTACGCACCTTCTCCTGCTACCACCCCGCCCTGGCGCTGTGCGCACTCCGGAGGAACATTATGGTGGCCTTCGAGGACCCTGACAGCGCCACCTACGGGCTGGTGCAGTTTGGCCTGCACAACAGCCAGCGCTATGACCACCGGCCCCAGGACGACCACTTGGACCACATCACTGGTGAGGGGGCAGGGCCGAGGGGTGGATATATCTACACTAATAAAAGACAAACATGCAAATTGACCGTACCTTCGCTATGCCTTAAGCCACGCCCACCAGCCAATCAGAGCGACTATATGAAAATTAACCCAACCAAGATGGCCACCAGCAGCCATGGAGCTGGAGCAAGCAGGAGGCTTGGTTGCCCCAGTGATGGAGGAAGCCAAGCTTCCTGCCTGCTGCAACCAGCTCTGAGCTCCACTCAAGGCTACAAAGTTTCAATTATAGAAGATAAATAAACCCCAGATACCTGCTTTCAGCCAGCCATGGCCACGGAGCTGGAGCAAGCAGGAGGCTTGGGTTGCCCCTGGCGATGGAGGAAGCCAAGCTTCCCCCCCCCCCCCCCCCGCTCTGGCCAGCTCTGAGCTCCACTCAAGGCTACAGTTTTAATTATAGAAGGTAAATAAATCCCGGAATAAAAAAAAAATAAAGAAAAAAAGGAGAGGCTAGGAGCTTCCGTCGCCGGGGGGCTTGGCCAGCCTGAAAACGGCCCTCAGTCCCTCACCCAGACTGGCCAGGCACCCCAGTGGGAACCCCCCACCCTAAAGGGGGTGTGGCCATCCTGAAAACAGCCATAAGCCCCTCACCCAGGCTGGCCAAACCTCCATGGGGTGAGAGTCCGCACTGGGGAGGGCTTGACCAGCCTGCAAACAGCCATCAGTCCCTCACCCAGGCTGGCCAGGCACCCCAGCGGGACCCCCACCCTGATCTCGGACACCCCTCAGGGCAAACCAGCTGGCCCCCACCCATGCACCAGGCCTCTATCCTATAAAAAGGGTAATATGCAAATTGACCCTAACAGCAGAACGATTGGGAATGACTGGTCACTATGTCACACACTGACCACCAGAGGGCAGATGCTCAATGCAGGAGCTGTCCCCTGGTGGTCAGTGCGCTCCCACAGGGGGAGCTCTGCTCAGCCACAAGCTAGGCTGATGGCTGCCAGCACAGCGGTGGTGGCGGGAGCCTCTCCCGCCTCCTCAGCAGCACTAAGGATGTCCAACTGCAGCTTAGGTCTGCTCCCTGCTGGTAAGTGGACATCCCCCGAGGGCTGCCGGACTGCCAGAGGGATGTCTGACTGCCAGCTTGGGCCCGATCCCCCAGGGAACGGGCCTAAGCCAGCAGGTGGACACCCTCCGAGAGGTCCCAGACTGCAAGAGGGCATAGGCTGGGCTGAGGGACCCCCCCCCCCAGAGTGCACAAATTTTTGTGCACCGGGCCTCTAGTGTGTGTGTGTGTGTATATGTATATATAAATATTTTATTGATTTTTTACAGAGAGGAAGGGAGAGGGATAGAGAGTTAGAAACATCAATGAGAGAGAAACAACGATCAGCTGCCTCCTGCACACCCGCTACTGGGGATGTGCCCACAACCAAGGTACATGCCCTTGATCTGAATCGAACCTGGGACCCTTGAGTCCGCAGGCCGACACTCCATTCACAAAGCCAAATCGGCCAGGGCTATATATATATATTTTTTATTGATTTCACAAGAGGAAGGGAGAGGGAGAGAGAGATAGGAGCATTAATGATGAGAGAGAATCATTGATCGGCTGCCTCCTGCACCCCCCACTGGGGATGGAGCCCACAACCCGGGCATGTGCCCTTGACCCGAATCGAACCCAGGACCCTTCAGTCTGCAGGCCTAGGCTCTATCCACTGAGCAAAACTGGCCAGGGCTGGCCCTGATTCTTGACTCTGAGCCTCGCCCCCAGGCCTGTGCTGCTGCCCCACACTCAAGCTGTACGCCTCCTCCAGCCTGGACTGCACCATGCGGATCTGGACCACCGAGAACCGCCTGCTGCGGTGGGCTGGGCCCTGATGCGGGAGGGAGGGAGGGAAGGAGGGAGGGCGGGTGGGAGGCCTGGCTGGGACCCTGGGGGCAGCTCCCTCCCCCCCAGCAGAGTCTAGCGGCTGAACAGGGGAGAGAGCCTCTCACCCTCCTGCTCCCTGCACTTCCTGCTCTTTGGAGCAAGGCTGGCCTCATGCCCCGGACCCCCCTGCAGACTCCTGCAGCTGAACGGGGCGCCTCAGGCTCTGACCTTCTCCAGCAACAATGGAGACCTGGTGCTGGCCCTGGGCTCCCGCCTCTGCCTGGTGCCCCACAGGCTCTACCTGCCCACAGCCTACCTGGTGAAGGTGTGCCGTGAGCCCGGGGGGTGTGGGTGGGGCTGCTGCGGGCACACAAGCCTCCCGGCCAGGGCTCCAGGCTCCTTTCCCTGCTCAGAAGCTGTGCCAGAAGCCCCCCGATGGGCTCGATGACCCGCCGCTGCCGCTGACCACCCAGGAGTCGCTGACTTCGGTCCAGCTGCAGAGGTTGTCCAGCCTGCATGGGGTGGCCAGCCTCAGTTCAGCCAGCAGGCCTGCTGAGCCAACCCGGAGACTCCCACCCAGCTGCCCTGGCTCAAGGTCTGGCTGTGTGCCCCCAGTGTCCCAGCACGAAGTCCCAGGGCTCCCAGGCCCCTGGGGCCACCTCAAGCCTGTCCCAGCCCTGGCACCCCCCTCCTGTCTCCTGTGCCCCCTCAGGGGCCTGGCCACCCTCCTGGATGACTGTCCCGGCCTCAGTCCAGTCCCGCTTAGCGTACCTCCTATCATCTCTGTCTACAGCTCGGCCTTGTCTTTCTTCCGCCACTGGACGGCAGTACCTCAGCAGCCGGTCTTGAAGGAGGTGAGGTGTATCCTGACCCCTCCCCACCCCAATGCCCAGCCCTGCCCCCTGCCCAGGCTTGGGCCACATCCCTGGGGCAGGCCTGGGATCCCTGCGGTTATCTGGGTAGCACATGGCAAGACTCCGGGAAGAATGGGCTGACCTCTGACCCCCTGCCCCAGGACCTGGAACCCTTATCTGCCCGGGACCAAGACCTTCAACAGCTGAGACGGGGTCAGGTGGTGCCAGCAGCCCGGGCCCCGCTCTCCTGGCAGCAGCAACTGGAGGCCTTTGACAACTACTTGTATCTGGTCTACGGCCCGGCCCTGCTGGTGGGTGGGGTGCTTCCCCGCACCAGCCCCGCACCAGCCCCTTCCTCCATCCTGGGGCTCTGACACCACCCCCTGCCCTGCCTGCACCCCCCCAGGGCATGCATCCCAGGACAGAGTCCCAGCAGTGGACCAGCACGGCCATCACAGTGGAGAAGAATGGGGATGTGTCGAGCGTCACCCCCAGTCTGGCGAAGGCTGGGGTCCGCACTGACTCTCCCAAAATGCTGCCTCCACGGGACCGGGGGGCCCTGAGCCAGCGCTTCGCCCACCCTCCCCGAGTCACCCTGCCCATCCCACCCACCCACAAGCGGGAACACAGCAGGGCATCCCAGGTGAGGCCTCCCACCCCTGCCCCACCTCCGCCCTGACTGCAGGACCCTGCCCCCCACCCTGACTCCTCCCGTGCCCCAGCTGCTGGCTCACTCCTCCCTGAGCTCCTTCCTGGGCCTCAGCGTGGACCTGCAGATGCAGTCGGAGCAGCTCCGACAGGAGAGGCCTGCGTCCCCAGAAGCACCGTCTTCCCACCTGAAGCACAGGGTAAGGGGCCAGGCCGGGGGGATGCTACAAACCGCCCCCCAGGGCAGAGCTGTGGGGGGGGGCACAGAGTCCCCCGCTGGGCTCTGAGCCCCTGGCCCGTCCCCAGGTCCCGCTGCTGCTGGAGAGGCGACCCAAAGAGCTCCTGTCCGACCTCGGGGGCTTCTTTCCTGCCTCTGCTCAGCACTACAAGGTGAGACCCCCCCCCAGAGGCCCTCCCTGCAGGGGTCACCCTGATGGTGCTCCCCATCGTCTCTCTTTTCCTACAAACATAAATATTTATTGATTTCAGAGAGGAAGGGAGAGGGAGAGAGACATAGAAACATCAATGATGAGAGAGAATCATGGATGGGCTGCCTCCTGCACACCCCACACTGGGGACCGAGCCCACAACCCCGGGCATGTGCCCTTGACCAGAATCGAATCCAGGATCCTTCAGTCTGCAGGCCGCTGCTCTATCCACTGAGCCACACCAGCCAGGGCTCCTCGTGATTTCTGAAGGCTCCACCTGCCTGTGTGTTGTGTGGGGGGCACCCGTTCAGCGCCTGGAGGCCTGGCAGGAAGCTGGGCGGTGGCAGGTACTCTGCCCAGACCGCCTCTGGAACAGGGCAGAAGTCAGTCCTCGCCCACCAGGCTGTCCTCTACCCCTAGAACCTGCGGAGGCCCATCCACTTCCCAGGCTGGGTCCCCAACTCCGTGGTGCTGCAGCAGATGTGGCTGCCCCAGGAGGTCAGCGGCCTGGGGAATCTCCCTCAGCTGACTGCCCGAGAATCTTCTAAGGCAAGGGGCGGGGCTGGCGCTCGCCCTGTGGGCAGGGGAGGGCTCTGCAGGGGGGGGGGGGTGTGCCACTCGTGCCAGTGGCTAGTGGTGCTGTCCCCTCTGCAGCCAGCGGGCAGCCAGGAGGACCTGTGGCTGTTGCGGGGCAGACAGCCCCGCACCAGGAGCCAGATCCAGTGGTCGGATGAGGGGGACGAGGACCTGGACCTGGACCTGGACCTGGAGCTGGACTGGACCTTGGACTATCCCCTCTCGTCTCCGGAGCCCTCCCAGGAACTGCTGGCGTTTGAGAAACCGGCAGTGATGCAGGGGCGCGCCCCCAGCAGGGCTGCGGTGAGTGGAGCAGAGAGGGAAGCGAGGCTTTCGGTGGTCACCACGACCCTCCACGGCACCACCACCATCCAGAGATATGAGTTCTTGGCCAAGAAACACATCCGGGAAACCACTGCCAGGACAGAGACCTTTCTCCGCCGCCACCAGCACCGCCTCGGGCACTCGCTCTGGGAACTGCGCTACGGGCACCTGCCCAGGTTCCTGCGTTTCTTTGTCATCCAGAACTGGTTCAAAAAGCTCTTCCCCATCCTTCCACCCTGGAGGTTTGTGGGGGGCGGGCCGGGGGGGGGGGGGAATGCCCTGGGAAAACTGGCTGGGGGAAAGGGGGGAAGGGGCAGGGCCTCAGCTCGCTGTCCTTGCAGGCGTACCCCGAGGTGGGCACGGTGGACGGCCTGGCCTCGCGGCTCATGGACCTGCTGAAGGAGGCCTCCTGGGAGCACCGTGTGCACATCCTGCGGGCGCTGCTGAGGCTGCTGCCCGAGATGAACAAAACCCTCTACAAGAAGCTGCAGGAGACCCTCAAGTACCTGCTCAACCTGGACGAGCCCCCCAACCTCCAGGTTCGCCCCACCCCGCCCGCCTCGCCCCAACCCGCCCTGTCATGCTCCAGGCGGGCCCCACAAATCGCCCTCCTGCCGGTGCTCAGGAAAAGACCCAGAGGCAGTTCGTGATGCTGGCTCTGCAGCTGCAACTGGCCTGCTCCCTGGAATCCCGAGAGGTGGTGCTGGAGCTCATGTCCTACCTCCTCTACTCGCCAGCCTCCTGCAGGTGAGGCCGCCCTCGGCAGCAGGGGTGGGAGGCAGGAGCTGGGGGACGGGGCATGAGCCGCCCTCACCTGTCGCAGGCCTGAGCTCAAGAAGCTGCTGGAAGGGCTGGGCCTCCAGGACCCGGAGGGCTTCCTGTTCAGGGAGATGATGACCTGGGTGCAGGACCTGGACCTGCACTGCAAGGCCGTGCTGCGCAGATGCTGTTCCCAGAAGCTGGAGGAGATGACCCACCTCCTGGAGGTGGGAGGCGGGGGACCTGCCAGTGGAACCTCTTGCCTTCGCCCAGGGCTTTCCCCAGGTGCAGGGAGAGCAGGGGAGGCTGGGAGGCCTTGCCTTGCTCTAGATCAGCGGTTCTCAACCTGTGGGTCGCGACCCCTTTGGCGGTCGAACGACCCTTTCACAGGGGTCGCCTAAGATCATCGGAAAACACATACATAATTACATATTGTTTTTGTGATTAATGACTATGCTTTAATTCTGTTCAATTTGTAACAGTGAAAATGCATCCTGCATATCAGACATTTACATGACGATTCATAACAGTAGCATCATTACAGTGATGAAGTAGCCACGAAAATAATTTTATGGTTGGGGGTCACCACAACATGAGGAACTGTCTTAAAGGGTCGCGGCGTTAGGAAGGTTGAGAACCACTGCTCTAGATCCACGGCACCTGTCCTCCCAGTCCCGCCTCTCTCGGGATCTTCCTGCTTCTTCCTGGGAGGGAGTCTGCAGCGGGGTCCAGCTGGGGTCCAGGAGCAGCACCCGATCCGGCCTCCTGCCCCACCCCCTCCCCCCTCCCCCGCAGGTAGAAGCCTTTCAGCCGTCAGTTGCCAGGTTGTCGGAGGTGCTGCCCAAGGTCTCTGAGACTGTGCTGTCGCCGGGCTCCTCGGGGCCCTCGGTGCACTCCGCACTCTCCACCGTCTCCTGGACACGCTTGCAGCCGGGCTTGCCCAGAGACCTGGGCCCCGTGACCCTGGATTCCCAGGTCCAGCCGCTGACCTCGCAGTTCCCCGTCCACCACAGCCACCGCACGCTCTCGGAGAGCCTGATGCCCTTCTCCTCCGTGCCCGACATCCACGTGCGCTCCTCCGCGCCCGACGCGATGCCCGACCACCCACTGCCGCTGGAGCAGACAGACTGGTCGCGGTCGAAGATGCTGGACCTGGGGCCGATCGACGCACTCAACTTCTTCTGCAAGCATCGGAGGAGCTGCCTGCAGGAGGCGGCCAGGGACCAGAGGCCGCACCTGCTGCCGCCCAACGCCGTGGTGCCACAGCCCCGCGACCACCTGTGAGCGGCTGAGGGCGCCGGGCACCGGCTGGGGCAGGGCCCACGGGGTGGCTGGGGGCCTGGCTCAGTCAAACCCACCTTCTTTTTTATTTTTATTTTTTAAAATATATTTTTATTGATTTCAGAGAGGAAAGGAGAGGGAGAGAGAAACATCAATGATGAGAGAGAATCATCGATTGGCTGCCTCCTGTATGCCCCTTATTAGGGATCGAGTCCGAAACCCAGGCAGGTCCCCCTTGACTGGAATCGAACCTCGGTCCCTTCAGTCTGCACGCTGACGCTCTATCCACTGAGCAGCACCAGCCAGGGCTCACACCCACCTTCTTACCACCCTAGGCTTGACCCCATTCTCAGGCTCCAGGAGATCAAGCTCCAGGGATCTGCAATGAGACTGAGGGGTGAGTGGGGACAGGGGTAGAGATTGGACCCTGAGCTCCACCCCACCCCCACCCCAGCTTGGGTCCCACGGGGCCTCAACCTCACCCCAGGCCTCACTGCCCTGACGACCCCAGGCCAGATGCTGGCCCGGCACGGTGAGGGCCGCACCCTCGACGGCTCCATCCGGACGCTGAAGCTGCCGCTGCCTCGGGTGGAGCTGCGGCCTTTCCCCGTGGACTGGCCCAGGCCTGCCCGCCCGCTGCCGCCCCTGCTCCTGCAGCCAGCCCTGCAGCGCTACTTCCTGCCGGACCTTGCAGACCCGGACTTCTACCGCTGACCCGCTGGCGACCTTGGCCGGACCCTGGTCCCAGCCCCCCCTGCCCTCCAGCGGGGGTTCAGGACACAGCTCTCCACCCGCCGTCCACCCCTGGCCAAGACCGGGGATGGGAATAAAGTCCAGCCAGCAAACTAGGTGCCATGACCGTCTTTGGGGGCCACCAGGGAGGTGTGGCTGGTGGAGTGGGTGGGACAGGGTCGGGGCTGTGGTCAGCCCATGGTGGGCCGGACCTGTCCACCCAGGCAGGGAGCCATAGGGTGGGCTCGTCCCTGCTCAGGCATCAGCCAGCATTTCTCCGTCAGTTACTGAGGGCGAGGAGGGAGGGCGGACTACAGGCCAGCGGGTGGCCAGGTGTTCCGGGGAGAGGAGAGGGTCTGGATGGCTGCAGGTGTGGGTGGGCTGCAGTGTTTTTTTTTTAATATTTTTTTATTGATTTCAGAGAGAAAGGGAGAGATAAAAACATCAATGATGAGAATCATTGATTGGCTGCCTCCTGTACACCCCCCACTGGGGATGGAGCCGCAACCCGGGCATGTGCCCCGACCGGGAATCAAGTTGTGACCTCCTGGGTCATAGGTTGAAGCTCAACCACTGAGCCAGGCCAGCCGGGCAGGGGCTGTGGTCTTTGGGTGCAGGAGAGACCGGGAATCTGTTGGCACATCGTTCCCTCTAGGCTAGAAGGACTCCTGTCTCATCCAAAAAGCAATGAAAGGGGCCGTGTCCTCAGGACCTAACACCAGCCGGGGACAGACTATCTGTGAAGCGCGGGGTCGGGAAGGCCTCCCAGGGACTCCGTGCACAGGGGCGACTTGGCCGCTGGGGAAGGGCCCGTTCTGGCGTTCACACCCTTCAGTTGGGCTGCCCGGGCAGCAGTTTCCTTCCTGTGAGTGTCTTCAGCCTCCGGCTTTAGAGGTTGCTTCCCCATGGCTTTCTGGTTACAGCTGGCCTCCCACACCTTCCCCATCGCCCCCGAGCTGTGCAGGGGGTCCTGATATGGGGCTGCTGAGTAGAGGGTTCTTTTGAGGCCAAGCAGGGCCAGGGTGCCAGCCTGGAGAGCTGCAGGGCGGAACCATTTTAAAGGGGGTTTGTGCGGCCTATGGTGGTCTGCTTCTACTGGTTTTCATGGTTCAAATTATAAAAGCAACAAAAGCGTTTAAAATTAAAAAATGAGCCCTGGCCAGTGTAGCTCATTGGTTAGCGTGTTGACCCATGCACTGAAGGGTTGAAGGTTCGATTCCCCATGAAGGGCACATACCTGGGTTGCAGGTTCAATCCCTGGCCCCGGTTGGGGCTGTGTGGTAGGCAACCAATCAATGAGTCTCTGTCACATCGATGTTTCTCTCTCTCCGCCGCTCCCTCCTTTCCACTCTCTAAAAATCAATGGAGCCCTAACCGGTTTGGCTCAGTGGATGGAGCGTCAGCCTGCGGACTCAAGGGTCCCAGGTTCGATTCCGGTCAAGGGCATGTATCTTGGTTGCGGGCACATCCCCAGTGGAGGGTGTGCAGGAGGCAGCTTGTCGATGTTTCTCTCCATCGATGTTTCTAACTCTCTTTCCCTCTCCCTTCCTCTCTGTAAAAAATCAATAAAATATATATTTTTAAAAAATCAATGGAAAAACTATCCTCGGGTGAGGGAGGATCAACAAAAACAACAACGACAAAAAACAAACAAAAAACCAACCAAACAAAACAACAATATGAGAAAGTAGGACAAGGGTAAACAGGTAAAAAAACAACAACCATAAATGAAAATATTAATATTTAAAATACATAACAATATGCAATTATTTTTAAATGAAGAAATCTGTTACTGAAATATAGCATTAAGAGAGTGAAAAGGCAGGCCACATGTAACTAAAAATGACTCACCCTCAAAACATAGAAAGAACTTCTACACATCAATAACAACAAGAAGAATCACACAACCTAATGAAAAAAATGTACAGAAAGCCAGAATGGGATTTTCACTATAGAAGTCAAAATAGAAGAAAAAAAAAATTTACTCCACTTCCTGTGTGATCTTAGGTGCGTTACTGTAAGCCTCAGTCTCCCCATCTATGAAAGGGGACACCTCAGAGGACTGCCGTGAGGATGAAATTAATTAGTATTAATCTCCACACTCGGGCCCAGGGCTCAGCGCAGGGTGTGCAGATAGAAAGTGAAGCTGGACCCCTTCCTCACATTATTGACAGGAGAAACTTTCAGACGATCTGAATATTGGAAATAAAACTATAAGTGTACCACAAGGTAACCAGAACACTTAGAAACGAAAGATAGACATATTTGCTGAATAAAAAATGGATTGATGCTCAGCCACTGAGCCACGCCAGCCTGGCCAACTCTTGTAATTTTAACTTTGAAATTATTTCCTTTTTTTTTTTTTTTTTTTACCTTTTCATTTATCTTGGAAATATTTAAAGCTCCCTAGCTGGTGATTTCTGTAAACACTTGTGGACTACAAGCGGGCCCTGAAGGTGCACATTTTTGTCTCACTCAAAAGTCCCCACCAGAGGGCACCGTTTACCTGTGTTACCCATAACCTCCCACTCCACTCCCCAGAAATGTTCTGCTTTTAGGGGCCGGATCTGCATGCGGGGAGCACGTAGTGTCCTTGGAGGGGTGGGCACCTCTTCTCCGCTCCCACGGGACTCTCACACAGCTCAGGCGGGGCCTGCGGCTGTGGGGTGCCCTCCTCATGGGCCTGCGTCGGGGGCCAATCCCAGCTCTTGGGCCTGTTACCTACAGGCTTCAGGGGCATCACTGCTCCTCGGACTAACATCCTAGTCCTCAGTGCAGATAAAAATAATACCCATCTTTTTTTTTTAAGAAGGCACTGTGTCTTTTTAATTTTTTTAAAAATTGATTTCAGAGAGGAAGGAGAGGGAGAGAGAGAGAAACATCAATGATGAGAGAGAATCATTGATCAGCTGCCTCCTGCACGCCCCCTACTGGGGATGGAGTCTGTAACCCGGGCATGTGCCCTTGACTGGAATCGAACCCGGGACCCTTTAGTCCACAGGCTGAAGTTCTATCCACTGAGCCAAACCAGCCAGGGCAATACCCATCTTTTAGGGGCTTGTAACCGTGTAAAAGTAAAGTACATAAATAATCCACGACAAAGGATAAATGGGGAAAACCTTGTAATAGGAAAGAAGAGCGGTCTCCCCGAGCTGGTTGCGCAGTGGTTAGGGCTTAGGCCTGAGGACCGAAGGGTTGTGGTTTGGTTCCAGGGGAGGACGCATACGGCTCGACCCCAGCAGGGGGCGTGCTGGAGGCAGCCTATCCAAGATTCTCTCTCCTCATTGATATTTCTCTCTCTCCCTCTCCCTTCCTCCCTAGAATCTATTAAAAAATATATTTTTAAAAACAAAATTTAGCATTTTAACTATTTTTAATACATTTTTATTGATTTCAGAGAGGAAAGGAGAGGGAGAGAGCGATAGAAACATCAGTGATGAGAGAGACCCATTGATCGGCTGCCTCCTGCACGCCCCCTACTGGGGATCGAGCCCGCAACCCGGGCCTGTGCCCTCGACCGGAATCGAACCTGGGACCCTCCAGTCCACAGTCCGACGCTCTATCCACTGAGCCAAACCAGCCAGGGCTATAAAAATATTTTTTTAAAAAATACTAAAATTGAAAATATATGAAAACGGGGTTAGGCAGGAATGCAAGGCTGGTCTAACACTGCAAGTTAAAGTCATTGACCGCGTCTCTCCCAGCGAAGGTGGGCCTCTGCCCAGCCCAGGATGGGGGGGCACGTGATGGCAGCCAGCAGGGCCGCGGGCCACCCCCCGGGAAGGCGCCAGAGGGGCCCCAACGTGTGCGCCTACAGGAGCCCCAGGGCCCGTCCTCCCACCAGGTAGCCGCTTCCGGCCGGCACCCAGTCCCACAATGCTCCGCGCCTCGGCGAAGCCCCGCCCCACGCTCTGGCCCCGCCCCCTTCACAGAGTCCTCGGCCTCGGATTGGTCTCCATGGCTTCCGTGTTCCTGGTGGGCGGGGCCGTGGACCCAGTGGCGGGGCGGGCGGG